CCATCGCGCCACTCGGCCGGCCCAGTTTTTGAGTTTTAATGAAGTTGAATTTATCCATTTTGAAAATGAATCATGCTTTAGGTGTTTGCTTTGTATTTAAGAAAACTTTTTGGATGAATTAATATTGTTAAAATGTTCATACTCCCCAAACTGACCTACAGATTCACTGTAATTCATATCAAAAGTCCAATGGCATTTTTCACAGAAATAGAAAACAACCCCATAAATTTGTATGGAACCACAAAAAGATCCTAAGCCAAATCTTGAGAAAGAACAAAGCTCGAGACATTATGCTTCCTGATTGCAAACTATATTACAAAGCCATAGAAATCAAAACAGTATGGTATGGGCATGAAAAGAGACACATAGGTCAATGTAACAGAATAGAGAGCCTGGAAATAAACTTCCACATATATAGTCAACTCATATTTAACAAAGGAGCCAAGAATATGCAATGGAGGAAGGGTAGCCTTTTCAATAAATGGAGCTGGGGAAACTGGATAACCACAAGCAAAAAAATGAAATTGGACAAAAATCAACGCAAAATGAATTAATGACTTAAATGTAGGACCTGCAATTATAAAACTACTAGAAGGAAACAGGAAAAAAAAGCTTTTTACATAGGTCTTGGCAATGATTTTTAGTCATAACACCAAAGCAAAGGCATCAAAAACAAAAATAAACAAACGGGATTGCATTAAAAAAACCTGCACAGCAAAAGAAACAACAAAATGAAAGGCAACTTACAAAATGGGAAAAAAATATTTGCAAACTGTATATCTGATGAGTTAATATCCAAAAAAATAATAAGGAACTCTTACAACTCAGTAGCAAAATAGTTTTAACCCAGATAAAAATGGACAAAAGAGCTAAATAGACATTTCCCCAAAGAATAACAAATGGCCAACATGTACATGAAAAAGTGCTCAACATCACTAATTATCAGGGAAATACAAATCAAAACGAGGGATAACACCTCACAAACATTAGAATGGCTATTACCAAAAAGACAAAAGATAAGTGTTGGCAAGGATGTGGAGAAAAGGGTACCCATGTGCACTGTTGGTGGACATGTAAGTTGGTGCAGCTACTATGAAAAACAGTATGGAGGTGCCTCAAAAATTAAAAATAGAACTACCATATGATACAGTCTCAAATTTTGCAAATTGATCATTGAGCCAACCCAAATTTATTGTTAATATTATATGAATGAATGAGAGTACTTGGTTTAGTGGGCTTTAATGTATATGTTAATCTAGCTATTATTGCCTATGAGAATAATTAATGTAGCATAGCACCAAAAGTCTTAATTTTTTTGAAATATAAGTGCCAAAGCACTTGCAAGGTTTTCTTAATATTTTGCAGCCAAAAGTCTTTACCTACTAATTTTTTTTTCAGTCAATTAATTTTCTAAGTGATTTTGCCACACCTATCTAAGGGTTGATGAATATTATAGATTTTTTAATGTTTTGGCTGAGTAAATGAATACTGCTTAGAATTTAAATTTTGTATAGAATAGGAAGTTAAAGGAAAAATATGACTTTAAAAATAAACCAACTTTTTGTCTCTTTCTAAGATAACTTAGCCCCAGATGGCTATGTTGGTTAGTATTTGGCTGAGTTTTTATATATATCATATATAAATATATGAAATATATATATTTGTAGACATATATAGAAAGGTATATCTATATTTCTATATTTTGGGTTGTCAGAAAAGCCATGATGCATTTTTACAACAAAAACATAGAAAAAAATATGTCATGACTTTTCTGACAACTCAATATATTAATTTTTCTATATCTGGTTATGTATATTTTCTATATATAGAAAAGTATATATATTTTATAGACATATTTAGAAAGGTATATATAAATATATATGTTTTCTCTATATAGAGAGGGTATAGATATAGTCTCTTTTATGTATAGAAAGGTATATATGAATATATATACACACAACATTTTTTAATTTTTACTATTTAGGTCCCTCAGGACCCACTGAAGTTTTATAAGAAGATTCACTTTTGCCACAGCTGCCAGCTCTATTTGCCTTCTACGGAGTTTTCTGTCTCATCCACCTCACACCGCGTATACCGGTGTCGGAACTGCGTTAGCCTTGACAATGAGACTCGGCAACGAGAATCGTTTTTGAAGTACAAATGTTTACTTCAGTGTCTCTTCTCTTCAGAAGCTGATTATGAAGATGATTCGAAAATTGCTTTCCTGATGCAGGTACCATCAGTAAGGGTTGCCGATCATGCGTGAAATTTGTCCACTGATTTACCAGAAAAGATTCCCGTTTTCCCACCCAAACCTTATCAAACAATGGATTTTCTTTTCCTATGCTTACACTTTGTGCAGTGTGCTCTTTGGGTAATTCTAAGTTTATATAGCGAGACCTCTTGATAAAAAATTGTTTCAAGAGTTTTAGCTAATATAATTTAAATACAAAAAGGTTTTAAATAGTTATCTCATTTCTCCTTGCCTCTTTTTTTCATTAAAACCTGCATGACCTGCGGTAACCCTGAGGATGAGATGCTAGTTACTGCTACATTTTGAAAAGTACTTAATACCATATTAATGTAAGAGAAGAAATACATACAGCTTCCTTGGGATCAAAGATGCGGTCGTGACTGTGAGACTGATAACATAGTTTGGGCCGAATGAACAGAAATTTGGTGAAAAACAAGGAACTGTGTGCCACTGACAACCTCACAAATGGTGTTTCTCTTTTAAAAACATACTCAATGTCATTTAATTATTTCCTCAAGTAATACGATGGTCTTAGAGAACTCTTATGTTTATAAGCACACATTCTATTCCAAACTTGTTGTGGCCTGCAGCTGGAGGATATCCAGTACCTGACGGAGAACATCTGGTCGGGCCAGTCAGCACTCAGCGCCTGGAAGGACCTCAGTGACCTGGTCCTGGTCCGGTGGGACAAGGCCCTGGAGTGGTCCCCCTGGAACTGCATCCTGCTCACCAGAGATGAGGGCGCCGCGCATCTCAAGCTAACGAGCATTGAAGAGGTAAGAAAGCCGAACTTCTTGGGGGGATATTGACATAATCATTGGAATCATTAGAGATAGGCTGACTGCCTTTCAGTTACATTCCATGCATAATTTACATACTTCCATTGGATTCAGAAACAGAGCTTGGCTAATACTAACAAAATATGTGGATGGCAGATATGGCAGAGATTAAAATTAAAAGTAAGCTGAGGCACATAGAAGGTAAGGGTAAGAGATGTGAAGGTCATTACAAGTACCTTAACATGATACTACTCCCTCCTAATTAATATCAACTTCAAACATCTTGGTTCTACAGTAAGTTCCACAAGGGCAGGGATTTTGTTCAGCTCATTTGCGTCGGTCTCTCTAGTATCTATAACAGTGCCTGGTACAGACCATGGGTTTGATACGCGTGTGTTGAAGGAATAAATGACTGTTACCACCAGATAGGGATTATGGGACCTAAAATCTCTCCTTTGATTAATCATCACGAGTCTGCCTAAAAGCGCACTAAATTCTCAAATAAATTTTGCTCATCATTCTGTGCTCTAAACAGCAGTCATTCTGATAGGGTATAGCTTCAAGGCTCCATTTTTCATTTGCTCCCCGCTAACTAGGAGTGGGGAGAGCACTGTAAGAATGAAATACCATTTAATTTCAGTAACTTACAAGACGTAATCTGTAAAACATTTTGATGAACAGAATTGAGGGGCCCCTGAGGAGCTCCCAGAGAGCTCCATTTACACTCAGCCAGCCTAGCATCCCCGCTGCTAATGATTCTCTGCTTTCTGTTGATTAAGTTGCTGCATTTAATTCCATGTAAGAGGTCAGCTAGGAGAAAATAAAGAAATGACTTCAAATACAACAGCCATTTTGAATAGCACCATTCCCTGCCTGTGTTATTATTGCAGAGAGGAATGCAGGAAGAGGAGGAACTAGTTAAATTTTTAGCTGTTTTGAATAATTTTCCAGTAGAAGCCAAGCTAAGAAAAAAATTTATTTTAGGTATTGAAAGAAAGAGCAGCAAGAAATTGAAGCTGTGTTAAATATTGTATTTAGTAAACTAAGCTGCCTCATAAATATTTAATCGCTGGAAGCATAGCCAATACTAACAATATCATTTCATCTAGCACCCGGAGCGGGATTCAAGTTCATTCCCAAAGCTGATATTCCGCTGCTTCTTCAATTAATCCTTACAACTCCCTTTGTCTATTTAATCAGATTACTGCAACATCAAATTAAATGTCCTCTTCAGATTCAGGATGCCAAGCTTATTGAATTTCTATAAATAGAGCTTAGGTTCTCAACCAGACAAACTCAAAACAAAATTGCCTTCTTTATGGTTTTGGGCTGGTGTAATCTTTTAAGGTATTAATATCCAGCCTGTTGTAATCTTTTAGGCATTAATATTCAGCCTAGTTAAGGTATAGTTGATGTCTTGCAGCAAGTAAAAGCATTTCCAGAATTTCCTTAATACACAGAGATATTTGCTTTCTCAGTAAGTAAAAACAACAACAACAAAAAAAACCCTCAAAAGTTAAAACAAGCTTGAGTCCCTGAAGACATGATGTGTCACAAGTTATAGTTAAAGCGTGGAAACAGACTTCTGTTCTTTGAACTGTAAATAAGGCAGATCAATTTCTCATAGTGTGTGCATTGGCCAAAGTTGGAACAGTGGATTATTTATTTATTTATTTATTTATTTATTTATTTATTTATTTACTGGGGGACAGCCATGGTCATTGGTTATACATCTTCACTTTCATGCTACAATGGCATAGTTGACTCTTTTGGGGAGGGTGCAGCTCACAATGGCCCATGCGGGGATCGAACCTGCAACCTTGATGTTATCAGCATGACGCTCTAACCAACTGAGCTAACTGGTCACACCCCCAACAGTGGATTTGAAGTGAAGAGACCTGACCCAGTATTTCCCCAGTCCCATCACTAACAATCTGAATGGCAGTAAGGCCCGCCCTCTTTGCTTCATCAATTTCTGTCAAGGTTAAACAGAAACATGGAACCAGCATGGGGATCAGCACAGCCCTGACTTTGGATTCTGGCTCTCTCGCTCAGGAGCTGGGTGGCAGCAGTTGGGCAAGTGTGTCAGTGTCTCGTGCCTGGTTTTCTCATCTGTAAAAAGGGGATAAAATGAAAAGGGGATGATAGGTATTGGCACTTTTCATATTATATTATTCTTTAAGTTGCTTGTTCCTCTGATTATGTTTCCATAATATGCTTATCTCATCTTTAAGGACTACTTTTTGACTCTAGAAAGGCACTTTGAAAACCCATAAAGTCCTGTATATGTATAATTTAATGTTGCATAACAGAAATATGTTAATTTTTCTTCAATAAATATGGGCTAAGAAATGATGGAGCCAAGTTAGATTAATGCAAAGGATGACCTTGTGACCTGGGAGATTTGTCTGTGGGGAGGCAACTTTAAAATAAGCACCGGGTGCTCCCACTTGATACTTTCTACAAGAATATCATATCCTTTGGCTCCTTTTCTCAGGGCTTTCTTATCTTTTTTTTTTAAGAAATTTTATTGGGGAACAGCCATGGTCATTGGTTACACATTGCTTTCATGCTACAATGGCATAGTTGACTCTTTTAAGGAGGGCGCAGCTCACAGTGGCCGATGTGGGGATCAAACCAGCAACCTTGGTGTTATCAGCACCACACTCTAACCAACTAGCTAACCGGTCACCCCAGGGCTTTCTTACCTTTAATTTGACACTATGGAGGGATCTTGAGTGAGGTGATGTCTTACTCTCAGAAAACACACTTTTGGAGGTACAGGTAGTATTCATGATTTGGTTGAAAAGAAGAGTCAAATAGAATTAATAAAGAGAATAGGTGGTATTTATTAATTCAGCCAGAATTTACTTTTGAATGTGCCAGATACTGTGCTCAGTGCTTGGAGAAATATTGTTTGAGTTGCATTTGAATTCAGCTGCCAATAACAGACTAAGCAGTTTGTAATGACTTAATCCAATCTGAGACTAGCTTTCTTACATAACAAGAAGGCAGAGGTTGGCGGCCTGGGGCTAGTTTGGTGGCTTGCAATGCTGCCCTAAACCCAGGCCCATTAACATTCCCCTCAGCCTTGCTTAACCTTTAGCTTTTGTTCTCATGCCTCTGGACTCTTAGAGAGAAAACAGCCACCTCCCAGGTATGGCAAAAGCCCAAAGATGCTTGACTGGTGAATCTTTCCATTCCTAAAAAGCTTTTCTGTATGTGCTATCCAATGACTTCCATTATCTCTGTGTATGGACAATGGCCAGAAACTTGTCGCTTGGCCACCCCTAGCTGGAATAAAAGCTAGGAAAGCTGGACATGTCACAAAATACAAAATCAGGCCCCTACATATAAATGGGAGAGAGAATCCTGTTGGGTTGGCAGCGAGGAGTCTGCCCCTCTCGTTAGGAAACAGATTATCTGATAGCAAAGTGGCAGTTCTACATAACAGAAAGCTCAAAGTACTGTTTTAGCTGTGGAGCGACAGGAAGCCTAATAATTAATGAAGGACAAATAAAAATGGAGAGGCACAAAGACTTGAAAGGGCAGCAATGTTCTCTGTTTAGAAGCCAGAAGAGAAACAGTGCAGGGACTCATGACATGGGAATCTGAGGCAGTAAAAGGGTAACGAAAGAGAAGTTGGCACCGTCACCATACAAAGGTCATCTTTATTTTGAACTCTGGAGATATGGAGGGAAGGACCAGTTTTAGAAAAAACAACAACAATTCAAGCTGGTATTTGTATCGGTGTTGAAATAGACTGAAAGAAAGAACCAAGGTAACACAAGTGCATTCATTCAGAAATATCTATGAAGTCTTTCTTATGGTGCCGAGAGACACCTTAGTGAGAAAGAGCCATCAAGGTTCTTTATCATGGAAGAGACTCTCAAGAAGATAGTGGCATTCAAGGCAGAATGAACCAAATATTACAAATACAATACATAAAAGCGTTTGCAAGTACAGAGGAAGGAAGGGTTTGTTTGCACTCAGCAGTCAGGAGGAGAGTCCAGAAAGGCTCGCAGGCTAAGCCATGGGCGCTGCGCCCTGGAGGATGATAGACAAAGTGGGAAAAATGGATGCTGGGCTGAAGGAACGGATGCACAAAGGTACTGAGGCGTGAAAGCGTTTTTACTTGGCAGAATACATCTGTGACATTTAATAGAATTCGATTTTTTTTTTCTTTTCAGGGATATGAACCCAAATTTATTCACAAGATCAGACACAAACATATCCTGGCCAAGAACTATTTTTCTCAGATTCCACTGCTGGCTTCATTTATGTTTGATGACGATGAAATAGAGGCAATCAGAAAGAAATCTGCCACAGAAACAACACCTAATTTTATAGAATGCCGGAGGCATAGTCCTTAGAAGAACCAGGAGTATTTTTTTTTTTTTGATGATCAGCATTTTTGCTAACAGAGTAATACTGTGGTCACACAATATGGAAATAGAATTTTATCTTTTTACTGATTTCAGTTGTTTTTCATAGTATCATAAGGTGTATGAAGAGAAAACGTTCCTATATTTATTGTTAGACTAGTAGTGTTAAATTGAAATACTTTGTTACTAAAATTAATATTTTATTTTATTTTATTTATTTATATTTTTCTTGGTGATTTTTTTATTTTTTATTTTTATTTTTATTTTTTACCATTAATTTCAGGTATACAAAACAATGCAATAGTTACCCTTTTCAACCCTCACAAAGTGACAACCCCCCCTCCAATCCACCACCCCCCACCCCCGATATCATACATATCTATTACAATTCCATTTGACTCCACTCCCCACACTGTACTCCACATCCCGTGACTATATATATATATATAATATAAATATATATATTATATAAATATATATATATTAAATTATAGTTGATGTATACTATTATTCCACGGCAGCTTCAGATGTACAGTGCAGTGGTCAGGCCTCTACATTTCTCTAAAGAGGACATACAGATGGCCAACAAGCATATGAAAAAATGTTCAACCTCACTAATCATTAGAGAAATGCAAATAAAAACCACAATGCGATACCACCTCACTCCGGTCAGAATGGCTATCATCAATAAATCATCAAACAACAAGTGCTGGCGAGGTTGTGGGGAAAAGGGAACCCTGGTGCACTGTTGGTGGGACTGCAGATTGATGCAGCCACTGTGGAAATCAGTATGGAGGTATCTCAAAAAACTGGAAATGGAACTACCGTATGACCCAGCAACTCCACTCTTAGGTATTTATCCAGAAAAACCCAAGACACTAATTCGAAAAAATATATGCACCCCTATGTTCACTGCAGCACTATTTACATTAGCCAAGACTTGGAAACAATCGAAATGCCCATGGGTAGACGACTAGATTAAGAAACTGGTACATTTACACAATGGAGTAAAATTAATATTTTAAAGCAAAGAGAACATTTTACATATTTTAACATTAAAGGTTTTTAAAATTTCAGATGCATTGTAGTTAAAATGAACAGACAAACACAAGCTAGGCTTAACTCTTTAACCCAAGCAATTTATTTTAGATAAAATGTAGTTATCGAAGAATAGTTGGTACATAGGTGGGAGGAAACAGAATCCCCTTTCTTGAAAATCTTTACAGGTAGAAGAAAAGACACTATGTTTTAATACAGGGATTTGATTTTCACTTTTTATCTTCTACTTTCTTCACCTTCCATCATCTCAAAATCCCAATAAAGTCACTGAAACTACAAACAAACACTCAAAAGGTCCATTCCATGCTGGAAAACAGGGAAATCAGTGGAACTACCTTGTATCCTAGTGGGGCCATGAGGAGAATCCCCTAGTGGGGTGATGAGGAACACTCTGTAGGGGGATAAACTTGATCAAGTAAACTGTTAACATTTCCTCTCTCCAGTAAACTGAGAGGATGACCTTGACCGCATACCTGTCAGAGACCTACACTGATGATCAAGGGTGTATGAGTCAGTCTTAACAGGAAATAGGTGGCACACGAAAATTCAAGAAGAGTTTATTCGCAAAGGGATTTACTATAAAGTGTGGGCAGTGTGTACGGAAGCGAAAGGAACGCAGCAGGAACCCAGGGCAGGTATCAGATAAGTGTCTCTACCCCTAGTCTCGAAAGAACCTGGGAAGGGAGAACCTGGGAAACCCAGAAGGAGAATGTAAAGAAGATAACTGAGAGGGTGGGTGACCCTAGGTGATCTCGTGAACCAGAGAAATAAATCTTCTGATCTCACACTTCTTGCCACCAGTCTCCTGCCTGAGTTTCTCACTGGCAGAACCACCCCCCGTTCCCCAAAGGAGAAGTAGAATTCTGTTGACATAATTTAACAGCTTCAGGACAAAGAACAGCGTCGCTAAGAGGAGAGTGGCTCTGGATGGCTAAATAAAAGAAACAATGAGAAGCAAAGATCTATAAGTCAGGTGGCAATATATCACACACATGCAACATAATTATATATATGTGTGTGTGTTTAAGGTTAACAGCAAAGAAGCACATATAAAAGAAAAGCAAGATTAAAAATGCCACAGTGCATAAATTTGCATAGGTTAAAATTCTCTAATAAAGGATAGTTATTCTCCTATTGTATCAAAAGAGTGAACTATATGCTGCGTGCCAGATATGTACCCCCAAATAAAGTGACATAACCAAGGTTAGAAATCAAACCATCAGTCATATGCAGACAGACAACATAAAATTGGTAGCAATAATATCAAGGATGAAATTGGGAAGAAAAATAGAGCAAAGGAAGTTGTTTTATTTTGCTAAATTATAATTCACGATGAAAATGAATAATGAATCTCTATGTTAGGGACAAAAATAGGTTTAAAAAGAAAGTCAGTTGAGGATTCCTCACAGGCTTCACATGTTTGTGCGTGATTTTTGATCAAAGGCACTCGTGCTTTTTTGAGACTCATTTCCAAGGATGTTTGTGTAGCAAGCAGCCTTGGAAGACAGGGTGCTACTGTTCACTAGAAAAGATTGGGAGCCTCTCAGTCCAGGATTCCCATATCCTGTGATGCAACTCACTGTGTGTGCATGTGTTATTTGGACTTTGTGTCACCCCGAGGGAATTAGGACAAAAGGCTGGTCTTCCGGCTGCTGCTGTTTCTGTGAACAATAAATTGTGCTTTATCTCAGACCAGGAGTTTCATGTCTTCTTTCATCCATGAAATCGTAATGTGTTAGCTTGCAGTTAGGCTAGCATCACAGGCGCTTCACAGTTCCCAATACAGATAACCTGATGAATGAAAAATAGATGAGTGAGTTAGGAAAATGCTTCTTCTCTTCTCTCTCCAGGGAGATTGACTGTAATTCTCCACCCTCTTGTCGTGAGGCAGGATTATGTAACATGCTTTGCCCCGTGTAACGCAAGTAAAATTGTGTCACGTTGGAGCATTGAAGGAATGAATAATGCTAATTCTATGGATATCCTTCTTCTAAGGAATAGAGAAAGAGTGACTCATGAGGCCAGCATGTCCTTGATATCGAAAGTTGTCAAGGATAGTACAAGACAGAAAATGATAGGCCATTTTCACAATGAATATAGGTGCAAAAACCCTAAGCAAAATATTAGCAAGCCAAATAAAAAATATATTAAAAGGTAAAACAGCGTGGCTTTGGCTGGATAGTCTTCATTTGCCTCTTTAGATCTGCCTTGCCCCCTTCTCCTCTCTCTGCTCTGTGCCCTTGGAGTCTAATCTTTATTCACTGCATCAGTGAGGACATCAAGTCCCCTGGCTGCTGTTGGTCAATGGGAAACATCAGCAGGAAATCTGAGGTCTGAAAGAAAGAAAGTTTGGGGTATTTATTCCCCTGGCTTCTCCCATCTGATTTTTGGTCTGTTGTCATCATTGACGGCATTCATCTGCCTAAGACCACACCTCTGGGCGTATGGTCAGCCCTCACCCTCTACAACTCTCTGAACTCTGAGACTCCTTCCTTCTTCAACTTATGGGTGATAATGGCTTTCTTTTGTAGCCAGGGTTAAGGTGATTTGCTTTTTCATTTTGATTTTCTTAAGTGTGACCTCTCCTTTGTAAAAAGCCCTTTTACTAGCTACTTCTCACATTAACCCATGAATGTGTCACCAGGGTCCTGCTGGACCCTGACGAAGGCAGTAATTGGCGCAAGGACCGGCCCCAGCAAACGGACTTTGACGTGGAATCCTGGGCTTATGCTGCGTACATATCTGAAGAGCATATGGATACCTCCTTGCCAGGGGGACATGGGACAGCAGTAATATGCAGCATGTGACAACTTCACGATTACTCCGAATATCATGAATGGTGGCATAGAATGGGTTCCAGATGGAGGATAAGAAAAGGGAGACCGATTAGCTGAGGTGGTCACTTTGGTGACAAAGATTGTGGCATAGGATGTTATTTCTTATACTAGAGAGGGTTCAAAAAGGAAAGGATAAGTGGAAAGCCTTGAGACGTCCCAGATGGAAACTCGGAAAGCCTTTATGATGACTCTAAAAACACTACTTCTCTCCTGTATACACGCATGTAGAGGACAGATGTCACAGGAGCAAGTCTGGAGCCCAACTGTAAGGTTTGTGGAGTTGTAGTGTCAATTAAATGCGCATCCAGGTTAGATCTCATGCCACGATCAGGAAACTGGTGAGGAAGAAGGTGGCCTGGTTGGTCTGAGTTAGCCCGCCTCCTGAAATTGGCAGGATCCTGTCAATTTTTATCAAGAATCAGGACCATGGATTGGAGTTTATCCCAAGGGTAGTCAACAAAAAAGGGTAAAACAAAAGATTATATCAAGTCAAACTGTTGTTCTTGCCTAGAATTCAGGCTTGAGGGCCTGAGCATTGCTCGTATGTTCATTGAAGCCTGGGCTCACGTGACCTGTCTCACTGTGCTTGACATGCCAGAACTTGCCTGGAAAACATTACTCAGGAAAATGGATGGTTGGGCAGCATCTATTACGTGCACCTTCCTCAGACACCTCTTAGGGATGTCTGTACTCTGCCACAGGGACTTCAACAAGGCACCATGAAATGCAGTTGTGAGTGGATTACCAGCATCCTTGAAAAAAGCTCTGTGGTGACTGTTTCCTGTAGGCTGTGGATAACAGTGGATGTGCCGCAGTGGAATTTAATAACCACAATGGAATTTAATGGTAATAATGCGATCCCCAATGCTAGGAGCCAGGGGGTGAAGCTTAGCCATCAGGGAAAAAGTGATGAGAGTTATAAGAAGAAGGCTTAGGGGCACAGTGGTTTGACCCTTCGGGGATGTAACAATGTGTAACAATGGTTAATTGATCACCAGATCCACAGGAATGAAAGGCACAGCTATATTAGTATATTAGTATCCTAGGGCTGCTTTAACAAACTGCTACACACTGGATGGCTTAAAACAACAGGGATTTATTCTCACAGTTCTGAAGACCACAAGCCTGAAGTCAGGGTGTTGGCAAAGCCTCACTCCCGGACGTGCGGGCATATCTGTCCATGCTTCTCAGGCTTCTGGGGCTCCGGCTGTTCCTTGGCCCTTTTTGCTGCATCCCTTCAGTCTCTGCTTCTGTGGTCACATTGCCTCCTCCGTGTGTCCGAGTCTTCTCTTCCTCTGTCTCATGAGGACATTTGTCATTGGATTTA